TACCCATCGGCGGCTGTGGAGAAGCCGCCCGCCATCGAGCACAAGTGAGGCAGCGGTGTAGCATGCGCTTGACAACGGCTCGTCCTTGTGGCACCCAGAATTGTTGACGAACGGTTCCCAAAGTTAGTTGGACGCCGCCATGCAGAATCCGTTCGTGGCACGACTTCACAATTAAGCGTGTCAGCCAAGAGGTTGGTGGAACTATTGCCGGATGTTTTTCGTCGAAGGAGAGAATTGAGTGTTTCAAACGACCTCCCACCCGGAGAACGCCCTGAGCATCTAAGAACGGATTGAGGCGAAGGAGTTGGCTGCGCGTTGGCAATGGTGACTTTGTCTCCAGTGCCGTGACTTCCTTCGCATAATGCAGTTTTTGCACAAGGCGGAGCCAGGTGCGGAGTGCGCAGGTGATTTCCTCAGGAGTGAGAACTTGGCTCGTTGACTTGCCCGCCGTTGGTGGGGCCGAACTCGCATTGCGGCGCCATCGCAGGCACCAAGCTGTGGTGCAGAGAAGGCGGCGCAAGGCTGAGTGACGGAGCAGCAAGTCGGGTTCCGGCGTGTCTGCCCTGGCAACGTGAGTGGACACTCGTTGCTCCAAGACTCCCTCGTCCGGGTCGTTGCCCGGGTCGCGCGGCCAGCAGGGTTGATCGAGTTTAAGCCACGCGGGCCCGTCCCACCAGAGCGAGTGATTGAGAAGTTCCTGTGGAGAGAGGCCTCGAGAGGCGCAGTCGGCCGGGTTGTCCTCTCCAGGAACGTGATGCCATTTCGCTTCCGGAAGACGCTGTTGTATGTGCGATACTCGATTCGCGACATACGTCTTCCACTTTGATGAATGCCCCCGAATCCAGTGCAGGGTCACGGTGGAGTCCGACCATAAATGCGTGTGGGCGGCAGACAATTCCAACGTATCTTGGTAATGGTGCGCGAGATTCGTCAAAATTGTGGCTGCACAGAGTTCAAGACGGGGTATAGATACTTGTTTCAACGGAGCCACCCGCGTTTTAGATGCGAGTAGACGCACGGAAATGTCACCTGACGTTGCTGTGACACGAAGATAGAGTACTGCCGCGAAACCACGTTCAGACGCGTCCGCGAAGCCGTGCAGTTCAAGCTTCGCTTCGCTATCTCCATCGA